TCTGCAGATGAGCCAGCCAATGAATACTAGGTGACTGCTGAGGTTAGTGGGTGTTGCCTGATGGAAACCTTAGCAGCCTCTTCTTTGGACCAAACCCACCAAGGTAAGTGATTGTGTGCTAGTGTTTGTGGTATGCATGTACGTTTATTTTTTTCATTTGTTTTGTTGAGGTTTCAAGATGAAGTTGCACTAGTGTTTCCTACTGACAAAGTTTGACAGTTCTGTCATCATCACTTGCAGGTGCTTATTGTGTATGGTAGACTTGCCTGTGTGATAAGTTGCAGGGAGCAAATTGTTTATAAAAGTCTATCTGAAGGTTACAGGCAAGGTGAAAGCTCAATAAATTACTTCAGTTCATTGTAGTCATGTACTGTGTGCAGGGGATGATTTGGAGGTGGAGCCAATGGGAGAGGAGCCAGTAGTGGACACAGTGAGTGAGAATGCTGTTGAAGAGCATTGCCAACCAGCCAGGAGCCTCGACCATCCGGTGGTCAACCTTACCCAGATTGTGGATGTGCAGCCAAGCATAGATGATGGGGTCACTGTGGTACCCCCAGAACCACCAGACTTGTCACCAGGTCCAGCACATAAGGTCAGCATTTCAGTGGCATTTTTCACAGTTTTCTCAGAGCCAAGCTTTCCTTTTATTCCTCCTTTTGCTCTTCTATTGTTGTTTTTTTATTTGTATACAGTGGGCCTTTAACTTTCATGAGGGTTATGTTATTGAATCCCTTTTAATTGTGGAAAACGTACAAATTCATGCTATATATATTACAAATTACTCATTGAGACTGCTTACATTCACTGTCCACTGTCCACTTTACTTGGTGTACCAGACCTGACTATAATTCCTTGAATTTTCCATATATTTTATTTTTAATACTATTTATTGTTATTGTTAATTAACAGTACTATTATTCTTGATATTGGAAATGACATTATCTATGTTTAACAGTAGTAAATAGTGATCAAAATAACTTTTTTCACATAAAATTCAAGGGATGGGGTGAATTGATGGGATCTGGTAGGCTTAGTTAACTCCTTGTCTAAGCAATAATGAAACACTCTGTATCTATGTAAGCCATGTAAAAGCAATAGTAATCTAATAGAATAGTGGATATAGTATTTGCACGTACCCCCCCTGGTATCAGCAGTTTAAGGGAGTGTCTGCTTTTGTGGGTTAAGAATCTATTTTTTTGAGAGAGGAATGAGATTCATACTGTTGTATGGTTACTCTTAGAAAACACTAAATCTGTCTCTCTCTCTTTCCTGAATCCAAATTGGACTAAACCAAATAGATATGTACAAAACTGCACAAATATGGCATAAAAATTTAGCTTTTTTTTTTTTTTTTTTTTTTTTTTTTTTTTAATAGCATGCTGTGCTTTGCAAGTAATCTTAAAGTATCAGCTTTCTAAATTTGACATGATTATATTTGGCTTGCTTGGTAGGGTGCACCTGTTTAGAGCTCAAAGCAATTTATATTCATTTAATAATTAGCACTTATAGTAACCTACTATGATATCCTGTAATATTTGAGGTCACAAACCTGAACCTCATTCCATGCCTTATGCTCATGGCTTTTTCTGTTGTACCCTAACAGAGGGTATTCCAGCCACTTTTTTGCAATTTGCACCTGATATGTATATAAAAAAGTAAAATACTCTCCATGAAGATAAATAATATTACACTCAAAAAAAAAAAAAAAAAAAAAAAAAAAAAAAAAAAAAATATATATATATATATATATATATAATATATATATATATTATATATACACCATGTATATATTGAAATGACATGCTTTTTCATTTATTGCTGCTGCCCCTCCCCCCTTTTTGGTTATGAAAATATCTCATGCCTAATATTTTATCTTACAATCATGCAATGATATCAATACATGGGTGTTAATTATTCACTGAACTGGCTGTGAAGTCTATATAGAATGTAAGATCCATGTTATTTAGTTCATTTTATGCTTTTCAAATTATAGGCCTTCATTTGATAACTTAAGCAAAAAAAAAAAAAAAAGAAATAATGATAATGATGATGATGATCACATGCTTTTCACAATTTAACCTACTAACGACAGGTGTCCCACATATGAGACACCCGAAAAAATAAACATTATTATATTAAGCTATATGATGAGCCACACTGAAAAAATCGAGATTTATAACACCAAAGGTGTCAGTGCAGGTCAAGATACAGCTAAGAAAGAATGAATAAAAGAAAGTCAGCTAATTATGTAAGAAAAACATGTTAGCTGACATTTTGAATTGATCAAGAGTCGAAGAAGTTACAATCTCTGAAGGCAATCTATTCCAAAGTCTACAAATAGCAGTAAAAAAGCATCTAGAAAACTGACTTGTAGACGATCGACTTACATCAAACGTCATTGAATTGAGGGTCATAGAACTTCTGGTAATTCTTGCAGGTTGATAAAAATCAGGTAAAAACTTATAGAGGGGATGTGAATTATCGGTTACAATCTTGTATAAAACTGAAAGAGCCCCAATAACTCTACGATATCCAATGTCCAAATTTAAGTCAGACAGGAGAAATTTAATGGAATTAAAAGAACGATCAAGCAGTCTTAAGTGTGAGTCTGCAGCAGATAACCACACAGAAGAACATTACTCAAAATGAGGCAGAATAAAAGAAAAGAAGCACCTACGTGTAATGTTGTCATCTTCATAGATTTTCTTGCACTTGCGAATGATGCCTAACTTTGATGAAATTGCCCGGGCCATATTCCTAATATGCAATTCAAATGTAAGCTTTGAATCAAAGGTTACACCTAAGAGCTTCAAGTTATCCACCGAAGTGATTAAGACTCCATTAATCACCAGACTTGGATGCTGAGGCAACTGCGTTCGAGACCGACTCACAATCATTTCTTTAGACTTAGTAGGATTTAATTTCATGCCCCACCGAGAGCACCACGATTGAATCATCATCAGGTCTACAGTGAGACTGTCAGCTACTATTTGCCTAGTTGCCGGAGAAGGAATATCAGCATAGAGAGAAGTATCATCAGCATATGCCAACATTTTATTAGTAATGCCAGACCACATATCGCTTGTATACATGATAAAAAGCAAAGGGCCAAGAACACTACCCTGAGGAACCCCAGAAGATACATGAGAATACGAGCTGAAACTACCATCAACATGAACATGCTGCTGCCTACCAGTTAAAAATTCAGTTAAAATAAGTAAAATACTTAAAACTTTACCACCTACACAAAAAGACTGTAACTTAAAAATTAAACCCTTGTGATTAACAGTGTCAAAAGCTGCACTAAAATCCAGGGAGACAAGTCTTGACTCATGACCCTTATCTAAAGCAGACTGCATTTCATGCACCAACATAAGCAGTGCATCATTGCAGCCGAGTCCCTTTCTAAAACCAAACTGAGTCTCTGGAAGAAACGGTCTCAAATGTACAGAAAGACGTTTGACCAGCAAACGTTCAAAAATCTTGGATAAAATTGGTGTAATTGAAATAGGCCTATATTCAGTAGGTGAAGACTGTAGTGGGCCCTTGGGAATAGGGGTAACATTACCAAAGCGCCAGCAATCCGGAAATGACCCTTTATGAACTAAAATGCGTAAGATTACGACTAATTTAGGAGCTAATTGGCCATTTAGTCTTTTTAAAATCAAGGAAACAAGCCATTAGGGTCTATTCCACCATATTCATCTAGTTCAGATAACAGATACTTGATTTCAGAGGTCCTGAAAGCAAATGAATTAAAGCATGGCAATGGGTGACATGAAGAAGGAAGTTCAATATCTTCTAAACTTTGGAACATTGCCAGGTGTCCCGCCAGTGTGATGTTGTATTGGAGCTTGCACTCTGACGCAGCAGCTGGATGCGGCCGGCAGGTGGACAGGGTCTGGGGCAGCACCACCTGCCCATTTTGTAGCCACCCGGAAACTTTTATTTTCGGTTTCAAAATATACCGGCGTTAATGGTTTATGTATGGTATTCCAGGAACTAATCAGTAGTACTTGCAACTCCATGAAATAAACATGAAATGTATGCTCTTTTCCTTTATTTGGATATTTTAGTTCAGTCTAATGATCAACCCTGTCATGATGGGAGCCTCCAGTGACACACTGAACAATGTGACAGGGTATATGTGGAGTCATTTGCTTGAGGGAATAAATCAGAAGCTCCAGAAACATAAGATTACTCCCTTCTCTATTCTCTTGGCTGCTGCATGAATAGTACTTTTGGTAATGAGGCTAAATAGGCTTTAAGGGGACTGTGTGGTCTTTTTTCGCCAATTTTCACCCATCTTGTCGAAATTGTGTTAGAGTTCCTCGGTCCCTGGTTCTCCCCTGAAAATTTCAAGACCCAACGGTTATTTTTTAGGTGGTAGCAGCTATTTTCGTTGTCAACAGAAATATATATTTTTTCACGTTACCTTAGAAAATCGGCAATTGTGACGCAATGATTAGAGATACTAAAAAGTGAGATTATTTTCTGAAGGGTTATTAAATTTCACATAAGATGAGACCAACCCTCATTTCTTCAGAATAATTTTTAAAACTGGCAAGCCAAAAAATGATAATGAAGAAATTTTTCATACAAATAAATGAACATGATATGCCTTTCATACGGAGTATTTTATTTTATTTATATTTTCATCATACATAGTCAGTTTGATCTATGAGCAAAACAATTAAAAAATGCAAACCACTTCCCCCCTAAATGGGGGGTAGAATTGCCAAATGATCCAGATCACCACCAAAATTTTATGGAATATTAGTTAAGCTAAGACAAATATCAAGTAAAATTTATTAAAATCTGTTCATAACTTTTTGAGTTCAGAGTAAAAAATTCCTGGATCCAAACTATGGTCCGCATCGCCACCAAAGTGCAATAAGCGTTAGGTTAAGACAAACCTTTGGTTAAAATCTCATTAGGATGTGTTCATGACTTTTAGAAATATCAAAAAACAAACAAAAAACAACAAACAAACAAAGAAT